CAGTGACTGGGGTAATCGGGATGGGTGTGTCAGAGGCGGTGCGGTTGGCGCAGGATAGAGCAGGGTTTAGAGCTGTTGTGCATAGGGTCGCTATGAGTCGGAAACGACTCAATGGCATATAACAACAACAATACCTCAACGTCAAGAAAACAAAAATCCTCAGTTTTGTACCAAAGGCAACATCATAGACAGAGATGGAGAAACGATTGATGGTACCAACGCTTTCCTTTCATTTGAATGCACAATCAATACCCATGATAACAGCAGTCAAAATATCAAAAAACAAATTACACCAGGCAAATCTGTTGCCAGAGATTCTAAAGTACTTAAGAGCAAAGATGTCTGTTTAACGTATAAGGTCCACCTGATTAATGGTATTTTCAGTTGTTTCATAAGCATGTGAAAGTTGGACAAGGAATATGGAAGACATAAAGATAACTGATGCTTTTGAACTGTGGCGATGATTGAATACACCAGGGACGGCCAAAAGAACAAATTTATCTTGGAAGATGTGTAGCCAGAGTTGTCATTAGAGGAAAGGATGGTGGAAATTTGTCTCATATACTTTGAGCATGTCGTGCGGAAGGACAATTCCTGGAAAAGGACTTCAGGCTTAGACAGGCAGAGAGGACTGGAGGAGAAGACACCCTCAATGAGATGGATTCGCAGAGAGGGCTGGAACAGAAGACACCCTCAATGAGATGGATTGTTACTGTAACTACTACAGTGGGCTGGAGTACAGCTGAGATTGCCAGGGAGTGCAGGATCGGGCAAGATTCAGATCTGTCGGATACAGGTTCACTAAGAGTGGTAGTTGACTGGATGGCACTTAAGAACAACAAAACCAGATTTCATAAAGTCTTTGTTTTCTACAGGTTTTTATGAACATATAGCTACATAATCAACAGCAAAATTAGTATACAAAGTAGTTCCACTGCTTCAACAAAATATCCATGTCCCTTTATAGTCACTGTCCTACCACCAGACCTTGGCAAATAATTTAGTTTCTGTTCCTGTAATCTAGCCTTTTCAACATCATATAAATGAAATTATATGGTAAGTATATAGTCTTTTCAGTCATTAATATAGCATAATGTATTTAAGAGGCATAACACTGTTGGGAAGACACCCTGGTGCTGCAGTGAGTAAAGCATTAGGCGCCTAACTCAAAGGCCAGTTATTTGAACTCACCAGCTGCACTGTGGGGCAAGATGTGGTAGTCAAGTCAGCCTCCATAAAGATTACAGTCTCAGAAGACAGTCCTCAGCTGGCCTTCAGGGTCACTGTTACTCAGAAAATGACTGGAAGGCATTTGGTTTGGTTTGGTATGCAGTTGGGTGTATCAGATAGCTGGTCGTTTTTATTGCTAAATGGTATTCCTCCACTTGTCTGTACTTCATTTTCTTTATCCTTATCCATTTACCAGCTAGAGAGCATGTGTAGGTTGTTGCTAGATTAGGCAATTAAGATCAAAGTTTCTATAAACATCTGTATACAGACTTTCATTTCTTTGGGTTAATATCCAGAAATAAAAAGGACTACCATGACACGCGTATGTGAAAATTACAAGAAACTGCCGAACTTTCCAGAATGAGTTTCACTCTGCATTCCCACACTTGATATGGTCAACTTTGTTTTTTCTTTAGGCATCCTAATGAGTGTGCAACAATACTCATTGTGTCTTTAATTTGCATTTTCTTACTGATTAATGAGGTTAAGCATCTTTTTATGTGATTACTTGCCATCTATGTATCTCCCTGGTGAAGTGTTTAGTCAAATCTTTTATCTGTTTGAAAAATTCTATTTTTTGAAGTCTTACTGTATGCAAATTTTTTAGTTTAGATACAAATTGTTTATCTGGTATTTGATTTGTAGCTATTTTTTCCCCAAGTCTTTGGTTTCTCATCTTCTTAACAAATGCCTTTTGGGCAGAAGGTTGGAAGTTTTTATTTTTGATGAAGTTAAATTTTCATTCTTTTTCTTCTGTGGATATTTCTGATGTTTAATATAACAAAGAAATACTTACACAACCTAAAGTCAAACCATTTTCTGCAAATACTTTTAAATTCTTCATGTTCTCTTCAATATGACAACTCTTTAGACAGGACTGCTAAACTGCTTTTAGGCTTTCCACTTTTATCAGTGTTGGACATTTTTCTTTTTCAAAATCTAATCTAGCCACGTTGTTATAAGGCGCCAGAGTTGCCTACAACTCCTAGCAACCCTGTGAATGATGGATCTGAATCTTGCCTTATCCTGCACCATTCTCGCAATCTTCCCACATACTCAACCTTATTGGTATAGTTCAATCTCTCTTGATGAAGGTATTTCTTTCTTTCTCTGACCCTCCACCTTTCCTAGCTTGATATCTTTTTCCAAGGTCTGGCTGCTCCTGACAAGACAACATGTCCAAAGTCTGTGAGATGAAGTTGAACCACCCTTCCCCATAAAGAGCAACTTCCTTCAAGACAGACTTGTTTGTTCTTTTCGCAGTCCATGGGATATTCAGAACTCTTCTTCAACACCACAGCTCAAAGATTCTTCTTCCGTTACCTTTATTTAATGTACAATTCTCAGATGCACAGCAAGTAACTGAAAAGATCATGGCTTGAATTGGCTATTGGGTGCACCTTAATCTTTAAACCAACATCACCACTCCTTTCTTTTTTTTTTTTTTTTAAATTTTGTGTGCGTGTACCGTCAAATCAGATCTGACTGGTACAGGAGGATATTGCGCCTCCTTCTCCGGCAGAGCGTCTGGTGGATTTGAACTGCTCACCACTCCTTAGCACTTGGAAGAGGTCCATGACAGCAGACTTCCCAATGTAACATCTCTTTTGATTTTTTTGACTGCTGTTACCAGGGGTGTTGGCTGTGAATCCAAAGTTAAATTAAATCTCTGATAACTCCCATCTATCATGATGTTGTCCTATTGGTCCAATGGTAAGGATTTTTGCTTTTCTAATATTGAAATGTAATCCTTATTGAAGGTTGTAGTCTCTGATCTTCTGCAGCAAATGTCTCGAGTTCTCTTCACTATTTCCAAATAATGCGGGGTCATCTGCATACCGCAGGTTGTTAAGTCTTCCAAATTGGATGCCACATTCTTCTTCATATAGTCCAACTACTCAAAACCAAAACTAAATGATATGCTCAGCATACAGACTGAGTAGGTATAGAGAAAAGATACAACCTTGATGCACATTTTCCCCGATTTCCCTTGGTCAGACAATTGCTTCTTAGTCTATATATGTTTCACATGATTATAATTAAGTAACACATTGCCGCAAGTGACGGCAAATGTGTTTCTAAGCACGGTTGTCAATTTAAAAAGTGTGTGGCAACGTGTTAAGTGTTTGGGGATTTCCATTCTTTTCAGTATGATCCTACAATCAAATGCTTCTGCATAAATCACTGCCATTGAGTTGATTCTAAGATATTGTGCCCTACAGGACACAGAAGATCTACCTGCCTTTGGGGTTTCCAAGGCTGTATATCTCTACAGAAATAGACAGCCTCATCTTTCTCCCTAGAAACAACTGATGGGTTCCTAATACCTAGCTGGCTTAATCACTGCCCTTCTAGTTAGCTGGAAGAGTCTCTGATTTTAGTTGTAGAGAATGTTTTGTAAGAATCTTGTCTGGCAACATGGAAGAGGATAGCCTGAATAATGGAGAAAAATTAAAATTCTTGTCAAAAACAAGGGTACAATACAGTGAAACGGGATTTGTGCCTAAGCACTAATTAGCGGTAATTTATCTGTTATTTCACTTAGCCCTTAGTCCATGCCCTATGAAACAGAATCTCGATAATAGGCCCCCTGCCAGGGGCCTGTTCTCAATGTAATATTATATCCAGACTACACTTATTTGCTTGTTAAATTCTCCTCTATAGCTAAAAGTCAGTAAGTCTTGAATGTACAATTCACATAGCAGTATCTGGACTCTAAAAGCTATCTTGAAGCATACCACAGTGACTGGTTTGGACTAATGAATGCCTAGGGTGTCACTGAGAAAGTTGAGTAGCATGGTCTCTGATTACCTGGCCTCTTGATATTACTCAGGAGTCATGTCGGTTTAGTGGGTTATGTGTTGAGCTGCTAATATTTCTAGGAAAAAATTCACAGTGTTGATGAATCTATACTGATGACACTTCAACTTTCAAATATGGAGTAACAGACTTAGAAAGAAAGCAGATGAATCCAAAATTAAAAGAGAGAACCTACTTGGCCCTGGCTTCTTCCCATTTTTGTTTTTTCTCATCAATACTTTTCTTCATAACTTTGTACCACCTTCTGAAATCAAACCATGGTTTTTCTGAAAGAAATGAAATCCATAAATATTAATCAAATAAATTACAAGATAATAATGCAATAACATTAATATCACATGCAAGCAAGATTCTGCTGAAGATTATCTAAAAATGACTGGAACAGCACATCAACAGAGAGCTACCAGAAGTCCAGGCTGGGTTTAGACGAGGCCGTGGTACTAGGGATATTGCAGCTAATGTTAGATGGATCTTAGCTGAAAGCAGGGAATACCAGAGGAATGTCTATCTGTGTTTCATTGACTATGCAAAG